GGCTGGACGCTAATCTGGACTTGGCGACAGAAATGATTTCCTGTTGTCGTTGTCTGAGTCTGATTTTCACTGATGGTGTTTTGTGGGTTTTTGTGGTGGTGGTGATGGTTGCTGATGCTGCCGGTGGCCCCCAGAATAATGGAGTCTCTGGTCGCATGGCTGTCACGTAGGCATTCCTCAGTTGTGCTCAGCCAAGTGGCCTGGGGAGGATTGGGCTGTGAATTGTCAGCAGCAACCCATGTCCAGGCTTCTATGTAAGTTTTGCTCTAGGAGGAGGTAAATGGTGTGGGGTGGGGTGCTTTCACCTGGCTGCTTTCACTTCTCAGCTACTTGTAGAGGGAAGGAAGCCTTAGCTCGCAGGCCTGTAGGGCTGTGTTGCAGGCTGTGGGCTTTGGTGAGATATGCCAGAGGCTGATTCTGCAGGGTGCCCAGAGCTGGAGGGAATCGTGTGCTTGGGATGGGGCTGTTCTGCCCCTGCACACGCAGGGGTGCTGCCAGCTTCCCGCAGATGGCTGCTGGAGCCAGCAACTCCACTGATTGGCTTTTCATCAGAGGCCTCTAGGGGCCTCCCTTCTCCTTGTCGTCACTGTGCTGCAAACTGCAGGCACTGATCATGGCTGACCTTTGACTCCTTGACTCCGAGATGCCCAGACCAAAGAAACTGCTGTTCTTAGCAAGGTGTGCACTGCATTCCACGGACGGTGGGAGTCGGAGAGGCAGGGCTCGCCCCACAGCCATCGGACACACAGCACCCCAGGGCCCAGAGCAGCCTGCCCTGTGCAGGCTTCTAAGGATGTCAAAGAACAGAGTGCTGCCCAACTCTCCTACCTTAGGCAGCACCTGGGACTTGGAAAAGCTCCCTGTCACAGGCTTGGTCAGCTTGGGGCCAGGTCCCAGCCTGAGCTGCCTCTGAAATTCAAGGTGCACGACAGCGCAGGGAGTGAGCTTTGCCTTGGTGACTGAAGTCATGGAATGGAAACTGTGAGGCCCGTGCCTGCTCTGGAAGAAACAGATTTCCTGGAGAGGTCCCAGTGTCTCCCTCCAAAACCCTGCGACTGCTCCTTGGACTCTGCCGTTGTCTCCTGGTAGGGACCCTGCCGCCTTCAGCACCAGGTCTGCGGGAGTCGGCTCGGTGGCTGCTGTTAGTCTCCTTTTTGCCCAAACAGTCCCTGGGTTCTTCATGCAACTCGTTCCAGGACTTCAGGTCAGAGAGCTCAGAGAGGACCAGTGCTTGGGGTTTGGGGCCTTGCAGGATGGTGGACCCGTGGCTGGCTTGAACCCAATGAGGGAAAGGCCCCGGGGCCTCCATACTCATCCGTGGGGACCTGCCTTGGGCAGCTACTCTTGGTGGGCTTCCCGGGTGTGGTCCTTAACCTCTGCCTCCAGTGCTGGGCTCACAGACTCCATGTTCCAGATGTTCACTCCTGCCTTTGGATTGACTCTGCATTTGATCCCTGACCCTGTGGCACATTCCCACGGCCTCCTCACTCTGTAAGGAGAGAGCTGGGGAGAAAGGAGGCCTCAGCTCTGGACTGAGGTCAACTACGTAGGGCTCGTTTCCCCCACGCTTGCCCACTTCCGAAGACGCGGACGTCTGGTTTGAAGGCCAGCCCACACCAGGCTGCTTCAACACCTCGCGTTATGGACAATCTCAGGCCTTGCCTGCAGCTCCCTTCCAACTGCCGTCACATACTTGCTGAAGCCCAGGGTGGGTGTCTTGAATTCTTTGCCCAAAGATGACCCAGAGGCCTGGATAGCTTCACAGAGCTACAGCCCGGGAGAGGGTGGTGTCAGGCCGGGGTGGGGGGTGGGGCAGGAGCATATTTCTGGCCGGTGCCTCCTCACCCAGGGGCAGCCTTCTTGAGACCTGGCCTGCCTGCCCCAGAACCAGAGAGCCAGGGCTATGGTTTACTAACTGCAAGGTGACGGCCAGCCTGCAAACAGACCGTCCCTAGGGACGTCATGGGGAAAATTTCACTCAATTCAGTGCAAAAATATTGACTGCCTGCCGGCAGGGTGCCACATCCAGGAACAGGGAAGCCGGAAGCTTCACCTTTCTGTCTTGGCTTTTCTCCAGGCTGTGGGAGGGGCATCCATTTCCGGGGTGGGGGGAGAAATGCCAAATGCATTGTTGTTCTGCTTGGTACATCTCACTTGTTTCTAATAAAGGAAGCAGCTGAACAAAACCCTCCCGCCCTCCTGTATTCCTCTGGTCAGCAGGTGGCAGTGGAACCAATGCAGCCCCCGGCCTGGGCTGGAGCCCTCTTGCTCTGCAGGGAAGGCCCTCGTGACCACAGCACCGGGCAACTTCTGAACACCTTCCTTTGACAAGGCTGCCCTTTCAGGGCCAGCTTGGCTCTTTGTCCCTAACCTCTCCCACCCGCCAGCAAGGAGCCGGTACTGGCTCAGGCTCCTCTGTGTAAGAGGAGCAACCAGGCTCAGCGCCAGCACCCTCAGTCCGCGTCAGCGTGGCTCCTCTGACAGAGGGCACAGGCACCGCCCCGCCCACTTGTCCAGATGCCACCCCTCCCCTTGCGGGCCAGCGGCTGGGTGGTTCTGTTGAGACACGGGGGTGCTTTTAATGCTGCAGGCCAGCAGGTCCCACTGAACCAGAAAGGTTACCAGGAAGGGCCTGAGAGACCGCATCTAGACTTCCTGTGTGTCCCCCCGCCCACCCCTTCTTTTCCTCTGGACCTTTTCATCCATTCCCCCCATGGCTGGTGCCACCGAGCCCCTTCCCAGGGAACCTGGGCCCTGAGCGGCACCCTGAGAGGACACAGGATCTGCCCCTGGGATCATCCGTGAGGCCTTCTCCCAGTCCTCCCAGACCCCCACCTTATGTCTCTCCCCAGCCTCGGACCAGCTGACTCCAGCTCCTGAAAGCGGGCCTTCGGGCCTTCGCTCCCGTCTTAGGTTTGGGCTGGGAGAACACAGCCCTGTGGGTGGTCTCCACCCAGGGGTCTCCAGAATTACGAGCTGTGTTTCTTCTTTGCCCCCAGCTCCCATAATCAGTTCCTGTCAGCTTTTTTGCCTTAAAGACTCTCGCCCTTTGAAGGCTATCTTCCCAGCCTTCGGGCGCTTCTCCTAGCAGTAAACCCTTCCTCGGCTGCACCAAGCCAGAGACGAGAAGCAGAATGGGGGACTCAGCCGGGACGCCCGTGTCCAACTAACAGGAGCCCCAACCCAGGCCCTGCGGGGACCGGACAACTCGCAGTTGCCCTTCATACCCCAACACTGGACCTGGCCTCACCGTGCCCCCAACCGTGGGACTGCAGTTTGGCCGCCTGCCTCTCCTGACAGCCGTGAGTGTTGTGTACCAAGGCCGCCCAGCCCATTCCTTCAC